TTTGTCAACTGAGTAGGCAGTAGAACTTTTAACTCCAATTCTATATATTTGCATTCAGTTTTTTTCTTAGGATCCTAGGTGAGCAGGGCTGGAAAGAACCTCACAGTCCTCTAGTCCAGCCCCTTGCTCAAGGCAGGATCATCCTTGACTAAACCATCCTAGTGAAGTGTCTATATCACCTGCTTTTGAATGGAAATTCTACAACTTTGCTAGGTAGCTGTTCCAATGCTTGACCACCCTCAAAATCAGAATGTTCCTCCTAATCTCCAACCTAAATTTACCTGGATGAAGCTTGAGGCTATGGCTCCTAGTCCTAAAAATTGTTCCTAGCCCAAAATTGCCATGTAAACAATGAGAAAAGAATGGAATGCCATCCTAGGTGTAGTAACTGACACTTGTTTTTTTGTTTTTGTTTTGCTGGCTACAGTCCAGTTCTCTCATTTGCAAAAATCATTTTTTAATTGTCCAAAGTGTTTGCACGCCCTCTTAGTTCATTCATTGTACAAATTATTATTTTGAGCCGACTGTAGTTTTGGACCACTTTATAGTCCTTTTTTTCAGTGCACCTTGATTCCTCCTTTACCTTTATGATGGAAATATAGAAGCTGAACATTATGGGCACTTTTAAATATGCTCAGGGGAGACCGGGGAGGGGGGGGGGGGGGGTGTTAGAGTGGCTCCGGGAGCTGCTCTAATTAAAGCTCCACAGCGTCTTGTGTATTAGCATCCTTGTGCTTCAAAATGGTGGTGACAGTGCTTGAACTAAAGCTCATTTGACAAGCTTTATCTCAAGCATGCCCCCCCCACTTTTCAGTGCAGGGATGCTAATACATGAGATGCAGGAGTCTGTAATCACAGCATGTTGGAGCAATCTCCGTGCTCATGTAGAGGCACCCAAAAGTGCTGAAAGTAAGTTGGAAGCATAGCTGTGCCATCCTATTGAGATTGCAATGTTTTTGGCATCTGCACGCTTTTTAGTCTTTGCTGGCAGAATAGTTGGAGTAAAAAAAAAATTAAGATCACAACCTTCTTCTTGAAATATTCCAGATAGGTTGAAAAAGGGACAGGCAGTAGAAGAGATTCCAAATCTGCTGATAGGAGTTTAGAAGGGTTTGTGTACTCCCTCCACTGGGGCAAAACCTTTGATTAGGTGACACATGATTATATAGTCTATTATAAAAAAAAATAAAAAAAATATGGTGCAATGCAGCCCTTTTTCAGGGGTCAGAATCCCTGTATCAAGAGGGATACTGGAAAATGGCTGACTGGGCTCAGAGCTGGTTTCTTTAAGTTTGGGAGACTTGTACTGCTTGAGTCCCTTGTTATGCATTTTCACCATGAATCTCCTAATTCAGCTGGTACAGGGAAGGAGTGAAAGCAGGAAGTCCTTTCCAATCAAAGAAAGGTCACAAGCTTCCTTCATGTCATAGTCTTTGCAGACAATGTTTTTGTAATGACTGCAGTTTTGAAGACACTTCAGGACAGGTGTATTTGGAGCTGAGCTTTTTTTTTTTTTTTCTTTTTCTTCCCCTTCAGAATCCTGGGGGCCTATACCAAAGCTGTAGTTGGGTAGTAATGGTAAGCTGATTGCTCCCTGTTTGCAAGATCTGAGAAAAGTACAGGAAGAGGAGAAACCTTAATATATTAGTGTAGCAGGAGCAGGGTCAAGCCCTTGCTACAGACCTGTGGAGCCAATCCAACAGGAAACTCACCAGAGCATGACTGGGAGATTTGTGGCCCCAGTGCATCAAGAAAAGAGTCCAGAAAGAGAGAACCTGGGGGAAGGTACAGACCTTCAGGAGCACAGGATTGCATGCCATGAGGAGCCCATCCTGACTGGCCCAGAGGGCCAACCGGGCAACTTAAGAAAGACCTGGAAGACAGACTGCTGTTTGGCTTCCCCCAGAGAGGAGATAGTACAGTGGAGGCAGGGAGCTGTACCAACCATATGACAATGAAGGGTCCAGCCAGCTGAGCCAACGAACTTTGCAGGAGCTGGGACAAGCTTTAAGTGTGGAGGCAACTGACCTGGCAGAGAGAGAGCTAAGTAAAGCAGGTGGCTGGGTTAGAAGGTGCCAGTCTGATTCTGGGGACAGATGAAAGTGAGCTCCATACCAAGATGCCCAGGAGGTCCCAGCAGCAAGGCACAGGGAACAAACCCCAGTAGGGATGCTGGGAGCCCAGATGTGAATGTGTATGGGGGGGATGTGGCAAAGGCATTTGCACAGCAAGCCAGAAATGGAAAGAAAGAAGTATAGGGACTGATTGATAAATTCTGAATGAATTATAGAAGGGATTAAGAAGAAACAGGGGTTAACTTAATTGATGAACTTTGAATGAATTTGGGGCAGCTGCTATAACTTAATTTGTAAGTTTGAATGAATTATAGCTGTGATGAAGAAAGGGATTGATTTATGAACCTATACTAGTGAGTAAAAAAGGCACAAAGTAGGGGTATGCAAAACAGGCCATATTCAATTCAGATGTGTCTCAAATCAGGGACAGTAATTGGATTAATCTGATTCAGATCATTGTCCCTGATTTGATTCAACTGAATCCAAATCTGAAGATTCGATGCGGTCAAAAAATACGCGGTTCACCCATAGACACAGTTTTAAATTTTTTTTTTTTTTTTTTTTTTTTTTTTTTTTCTACCTACCTTGAGGTACCAGATGCAGCTTATGAACACTGCAATGCTGGGGCAGATGGAGCATCCCACAGGAGTGCAGGGAGGGCCCCCCACACGCTCAGTGGTGAACCCAGAAGTGGACTAGAAGTACTTCCAGTCCAATCCTGGGTCCATCGCAGAGCACGCCAGGCCTCTCGCTCAGCGACTGGCTGTGGAGGGACCCCAGGTGTCCCCCCTCAGACTTGGGAAGCACCCGAGTTGCTGAGCCAGGGGGGGCATGGGGCCCTCACCACATGCTCTCTAGTGGACCCAGAAGTGGACCAGAAGTGCTTCTGGTCAACTTCTGGGTCTGTGCATGAGTGCGCTGGGGAACCCCTTGTGCTCCTGTGGGAGACACCATCTGCCCCACCATCAGGAGCCACCTGGTACCTTGAGGTATGTAGAGAGAAACATCTTAAAGCTGTCTGAATCACCAAATCTGTCTTAATCTCTCCAAATTAATTAAAGCCCTGGCCCCATCTCAGACCAGTCAGGAGCCCAATCTTCTTTGCTTATCATGGGCATCCCTTGTGGTGGGCCCCTGGCTCTTTTGACCCTTCCAGTCCTGGCCCCAGTATTGACCAGTCAAGTCCCTTAGTTGGGTTTACTCCTCCTGCCTGCACTTAGGGATTGGGGTCCCCCATTCCTGGCTCAGGTGCTTCTAGAAGCATGCCTGGCCCTGTGGCATCATTCCCCCACCAGGCTCAGGTGCTTCCCAAAGCTTACCTGGCCTACCCTGCTCTGATGGTAAATAACCCACCTAAAGGTGAGGGCTGGGGTTAAGACACCCCTACCTGCCTTTCGCCAGGGTGATAACTGGCTTGGCATTTCCTGGGGGCTCCCGCACCACTGAGAGCCCCACCAGGCCCCCCATTTCTGGCAGGGTGCAGTTTTGTCATGACCAGGAGCCTCCAGAATGTTGCATGGGGCCTTGCAGCCAGACAATATTGCTGCCTGCCTACCAGCAGCAAACTGCTCTGTTTTATATAGGCAGCCAGGGATCTAAAATGACTGCTGCAATCAAACACCTGCTGGCTGCTTGGCTCAGCCCTTAAAGTGGCAGGCACCAACAGTGCCCTGCCACAATGTTTATAGTAGATGGGGCAATAAGAACTGAATTAACATTGTGTTTGTGGATAACCAATTGACTTAGCATCTGGATAGTGACTTTTGTGAGAGAAGAAACAAGGTCAATTAAATAATGAATTAAGGGATCTGAAGGGGCCCAGAGAAAGTAGTCTGCTCACTTACAGAATAACATTAGAAGTGTCCTACAGTGCTCATGATGAGCTGGCCCATATAAAAAGAACAGGCAGGGAATGTGGCAGTAGGAGAAGGAATACCACTGGTGGAGAAATACATTGTCTTAAGAAATAACATAAACCTACCATGAAGAATGGGTGCAATAGTTACAAAAGTAGTGTTTACTCCTTGGGCATATTTTAAAGATGTGACTACAGGTTAGATTAGATATAGTGGTGAGTCTCCCTCCCTATTGTAATCCTGTTAATAGGGAAATTTTACTTTATTTTTTTTCTTCAAGTTCTCCAAGTATGGGAGCTACTCTGGTACAATAATACTTTGGTTTGTAGTTATGACATGTGTTATATAATGTAAAGAATGATAATGAAGAAAACTTATTTTGCCTCAGCTGGTGTTATCTAGCTTCTGTCTCAGCTTCCTTCCTAGCTTCTGTCATCAAAAAAGCATCCAGTTATATTCCAACGAGGGGATTGGGAGGCAGATGCAGGGGAATCATAGGCCCAATTGGACAGGATTGGGTGATTTGGGTCTAACTATGAGAGAGACTGGAGGAGGGCCTCAGCTCCATTTTAAAAAGGGAACTCAAGACTGTCGGGGGGTGGGGGGGTGAGAATCCCTGGTCTGAGACATGCATGACCTATGTTGGTGAGGTGAAAAATTACTTTATGCTGACGCATCTTCTTTGTTCTGGTCTTGGGTGAGAAATAAAGGCCTGAGAAAGAACTAAGTATTTAAATGTGGCTCTTCATTCTTCGGGTTAAGTAAGACTACATGGAGTTATAGGTAATAAGTCCCAAGAATGTTATAATTCTGCCTCGGGTCCGAAGTCGATCCTTACACACACAGATCAGGATTTGACCCAATGTGGGGACAGATTATTACAGATCTGCCTATTTTGGATTCTTGCACCTTCTTCTGATGTGTCTGGTACTGGACTAGATAGATCTCATGTCCTATCCAGTCTGGCTATTCCTGTGTTCTGAAAACAAGCACTGACCAAAGAGTCTTGTTCAGCCTCATACCCCAAAGCTCCATTTTATTCTATCTATTTTACAGGTATCTCCTTACATTTATACCAGCAGAAACAATAACAAAAATCTGCCGCCCTGCTTCCATCACAGTGGAGTTACTGTGGACACTTCAGGACTGGGAAGAGCTCCCATACGTTTCCTCTATTTGCTCAAAGAGTAAAGTGAATAGCTTCTTCCAGGAGGTGGAGACCCTGCTATTGAACTCATTTCCCAAGACATTTCTGAGTACACACTCCATCACCTGAAATATATACTGTCAAAGGCAAACAGGGAAAGATGAGACACAAACCCAGCATTGTATTAAACTTGGGTTAAAAAAATTCTCAGCTTGGAAGATGCCCATTTACAGCAAACCTCTAAGCATAGCTTGATAACCCTGAGGCACTGACGGAACTGGTGGATGGCTGTCTGTCATCACACATCCCGTGATGAAACAGAAAGGGGTTGAAGGGCAGCCAGTTGGGTGCTCCTTTTCTTCTAATCTCTAGCATTTACTTCTCTCGCCCCTCTCTTTAGTTAACAACATTAAAATACATGCATTAGTAGTTCTTGTGGACACTGGCTTAGATATAAGGAAGCCAAGCAGTTGGGTGTTATCGTGATCCTAGGATCATTGACTCCAGTACTTCTGAGTCCCTTCCTTTCTCCATGTAAGCATTTCCGGTGGCTGTTATAAGGATATTGCATGCTTAGAAATGGGAGGTTTCATCAACCTTGCAGTCCATGTGAGAGAAGAGATGTCTACATCCTAGCCCTTGCTATAAAAAGCTAGAAAACCATTTTATTTCCTGCTCATACTTCTATAAACATATTATGTGTATTGCTATTGTGCTTAGGAGTTCTAATCGCAGATTAGGTCCTTACTGACCTAAGTGCTGTACAAACATAGACTACAGAGACAGTCCCCACTCCAGATAGTTTACAATGTAAATGAGCCCAACGACAATGGATAGATGCAGCCAGGGAAACTAAAGTAACAAAACAGCACTGGTCAGTATGATGGATACTGGACTCGGCACACCTGTGACATAACTATTGCCAATTTTTCTATAGGCATCAAGGCAGAGGAGTTTTAAAGAATGATTTCAAAGAGGATTGTGAGGTAAGAGAGAAGGGGTATTAGAGAATAAAAGAAAGGACAAAGGGGGAGGCAGAAAGTATTCTTGTGAGCTAGATAACTTACTTGGAGACCACAGCAAATGCCTTGATGAATGGCCTGTTGATCTGTCACCAAAACTGTTCTGGGGAAAAGTGCTCAAAAGCAGAGCGCGCGCGCTCTCTCTCTCTCTCTCTCTCTCTCTCTCTGACTACTCCCTTCCTTTCCCTGTCCTGTGAGAGTGCTGCTCTTGCAGAACTTCCCCCCTTCCCACCAAGTGAAGGAGGATCCAAAAGAAGACAGCCGAAGTAGCTGATGACTGGCTGCAGAGTGCCTATGCCTTCCACCCTTCCTGTCAATAGTCACACCAGTGAACCAGGATGTCCCATCTGGGGTCCTGTCACCTGGAACATCTGCCTCCCCCACAGGGCCAGGCATAGGCAAACCGGGTTGCTGCACAGACAGAAAAGGGGCCTAAAACTGGTATTTTAAAAATTATTATCATAATTATCTCTGGAGAAGGGGGGCCTGATGCTAAAAATCTCCTGGGGCTGCCAGGAGTCTAGGTACAGTCCTGCTCCCCCACAAGACTTTCTTCCAGGGACAGCATCTGATAAATAAGGCATGACAGGTGTTACAATTTTTGAAAGGTCTTCAGTTTTAAAAAAGCTGTGATTTCCATGTAATTCTAGGAATCCAGGAGTTAGAGTTTTAATTAAATTGCCCTGTTGCAAGATTCATTATGTAAATCTGAACAGAGGTAACTCTGAGAGAAAGGTGAGTACCTCACATAAAGTAGTGTGAATTTTTTTCAAACTGGTTGGGAGAGAAACCTGTCCTTTGCTTTATTGTTGCTCTCACTCTTCAAATGAAGGTGAACAGAGAAATTTTTTTTTTTTTTTTTTTTTTGTAATTAAAAGTCCTGTAAAAACAAGTTCTGAGAGCAGGAGAGATGGTTTCAGTCAGGGGTCCTGTCCTGGGGCCCTTAAAGGTGTCAAGAAACATGTTTGGTTGTAAAATGAAAATGAGTCCCTGGTGACTTCTGACAGCAGGGATGCTGCTACTTCTGCAGCTTCCCACTGATCCCAGTAGTCCCTGAAGCAGCTCTGGTATGAGCCAGGGATGCTCTAAGAAGATTGTGCTTTTTGCAGCTGTTTACCAGTGCCTTCAGCTATATTACAGGTTTGTTTTTGTTTTTTTAATTTTTCCATATTCCAAGCCAAATTAGTCAATAAATTCCAAATCCAAGAGTCAGTCCAGAACCGTAAGTGGCCCTATTACTGGTAAATGTCCTCCACCCCCATCTGAGGCTTTGGAAACATCCAAAGCCCTTGGCGGGCATCCTACTTACAGGCCCAAGCCCAGAGGCTTGGGATTCAGATGCCCATGAGTCTTCCTCAGCTGTAAGACCCCAGGGGCAAGCCAGGGAGGAGTCTCCCATTTCCATAAAGTGGGCTTAAAGCCAAAACCTTCCCACCCCAGCAGTTAAGTGGGAGGTTTCCTATACATTAACTTGGCAGGTACTATCCCTGTGCCAGGAGAATGATCTTCCCCAGTGTGGCTGGGAAGACCACCTCTGTACTTGCAGTGTTTCCCTTGCCAGTCAGCTATATTACAGGTGGATGAGCAAATCCACGTTTCTGTTGAGCTGCGGGAGATCCAAGTTCAACAGGTAAGGAGCATGCAAACAAAGGCAACTGGCAAAGGGTGACTCTTATTTCACATGGTCACCTTGAGTAGCCTCCAAAAGGACAAAAGATGGAGAAACTGAGAATCAACAGTTGATTTCAAATTCCTAGTCCCTGCTCTAACATGCACCAGCTGCCTCCCTAATGAGGACAATCGGAACATGACACTCTCCAGCCACTGGCTTGACATTCTTTTCCCAGTTCTACACCAGGAGCTGTGATTTGAGAATGACCAAACAGGGAGCCTGGGGCAGTTTCTGGGGCAGACTGTCTGTCCCCATGCACTGATTACAGCTAGGGCTGTGCAAAACAGCACCATTTTTTGTTTCGACTTCCCTCTTGCCTTTTCAAGGGGACAGTGTTTCATTTTGAGTTTTGTTAAGTTTTGCAACCATTGTTCTGTTTTGTTTCATCAAAACTCTTTCACTGTGTCAACATTGTTTCGACATTTTGCCCATAGGCTATAATGGGGAAGCACAAAACTGCCTATAACTTTGTCCTTTCATGCTTGATTCAAAGAAAAAACAGCAGGGAGGGTAGCCCCTGCTGAGGCCACAAAGCCTGTCAAGTTTCAAGGAGATAGGTGGAGGGATTTCTGGGAAACTGCACCTCAAGCTGCAGACAAGCAAAACTTGTGACATGTGACTCTGTGTTAAGCCACAGCTATTTTTCTGTCCCTCCCGCAGAGCACTGGGATTGGAAGGGACCTCAGGGAAGGCTCACAGTCACTGGTCAGCTGCACAGTAAATATCAGAGCAGTTCTTCCCCCTCCCTCTCCTTACTTTGTTTCCCTGCAAGCAAGCCCAGTTTTGAAACTCAAAACATTTTTGACTGCCCTCATTTCATTTCAAGGCTGTTTTGAAGACCTTTAATTTCATTTTGATTTCACTGTTTTGAGCTTGAAACATGTCGAAACAAAACACCTGGCAAAATTTTGCACAGCCCTAGTTATAGCCTCCTGGAATTTTTTTATTTTTTTTTTTAGTGCCATGTCGGGCCCCAAGCTCAGAGGGTCCAGTGTAACCACACTGCAGATATAGTGAATTACCTGTGAATGAATTGGTTCAGGAGGGTGAGAGAGAGAGATTTGCTGCTGAGATGTCAGGTTTGCTGAGCTGATTTCCTAATGCGTCATTGATGCATTCAGAAAAGCAAAGCCAAAGCCCAGCACTGACATGGTGAAGCAGGGAAAACAAACCAAACTGTTGCAAAAGCTGCAGTGTGGATGTCTTCTATGCACAGTCCTCCCTATAGCCATTGTCTTCTTCATCCACTAACCCTGCCTCTTGTCTGCCTTCTCCCCCACTCACTCCACTGTCCATGACATTGCTGTTTTTCACATTACTGTGGTGCCTGGGAGCTGTAGTCATAAATCAGGACCCCGCTTTGCCATGTGCTATCTAATCAGAGGCAAGAGACAATCCCTGCCACAAAGTTTACAGACAAGGGGCAGGAGATGGATCCAGAGATGGAGGAGAACAAAGAGACAGGGAGATGACCTTAGTTAGCTTGATTGGGAATAATCGCAGCATATCAATAGCCTATTGGTGACTGGTGCCTCCTGAGACTGTGGATATTTATAAAAGTTCCTCCCAGGCATAATGGAGGTACATGGAAGAAAGCCCAAAGGTGCTTGCCAGAAGATCTAACAGTGGGTGATAGACTGATATCTTGTGTTGACTGGAGGTGGCAGCTGACATTTTGATGCTAAATGAGATGATGGGCAAGGTGTGAAGACAAGTAACTTACATTTGATGCTATAGAATGTAACAAGGAGTTGTTTAATCCTTCATCAACCTTATCCATCAATGACATTCCTCCCTGCAGGAAGGACTCACTAGGCATCCCCCAGATCAATCCCTTCCCATATATCTATCCTTCTTATTTATGCTTCTGGAGCCAGTGTTTAGTTAAAGTGACAGTGTTAGGATCTAAGCCCACTGGACTAGATATTTCATAAATTAAGACACTGGGCTGGCACTCAGGAAATCTCAGGGTGCCTATACACATCCAGGGAGGCTGCTCTGACGTGCTGTAATTACAGCATATCAGAGCTGACTCTCTTTAATCAACTTCAGATTCCAGTGTATCAGCATCTTTGCCCTGAAAAATTGTGGCAGAGGCACTTTAAAGCTTGCCAAAAGAGCTTTAGTTAAAGTGCCCCTGCTGCCATTTTTCAGCATGGGGATGCATGATGCTCTGAGCACTTTACTTAGAGTAGCTCTTGGAGCCACTCTAATTAAAGCACCCATCCCCCACTTCCAGAGAACGTCTATAAATGCCCTCAGTTCCCAGCTCTGCCACAGGCTACCCGTGTGCAGGGTTCAAATTATACTTTGATGCTTGTCTGTGGGGGGGGGGAGGAATGTAACTGGTAAATTGATTAACAAGTCCACCTGTGTGAATGAGCAATCCGATTGGAGACTTCCCCCCAGGTTATTATTTTCAAATCTTAGGAGGGGCTCGGGTGAGCTGAGCCCCACCATTAATTTTCACTCTGCCTGTGTGATTTGTTAAATCACTTAATGCCTCAATTCCTTATTTCTAAAATGGGGTAATTCTTCTTTTGTCCATCCATGTAAGCTCTGTTGGGTATGGACTATGTTTTACTATGGGTCTGGGTATAGCCTATATAAATGAGACTGTAATTGTGGTTTGGGCCTCCCAAAATTACTGTGATCTAAATAACGGATTTATGTGAGTGCTTTTATATTACCTTCTATCAGTAGAGCTCTCTGGCCTGAATGCCATGGGTTCTTTTATTTATAAAGCTTTTGGTATGTGGGTCTATTAACCTCTGGCTCCTTGACAGGCATGTCACAAGACATGAACATGTATAACTATTTCCCTGAGATACTGTTCTGTTCCTCCTATCAGAACAACTGTACAGTCTAATGAAATGATGATGCCCCAATGTTTGTATGCTTCAATACCTGAAAATTCTCAACTTCAACACTGTGTGAAGTCCTGTGTTTATCTGCCAGACGGTCCAGAATTCTGCAGGCTTGCTTCCAATTGTCTAGATTTTCAACCACCTGGTTTACGGCAACCATGACTCTCCTCCCATGGAAACGCACCAGTGGATTTGCCTGCAGGTTGCCTTCAGTTGGGATGGTCTTGAAGTATTTTTTTGTCTCGGGATAATCTGTGAAGAGCCTGTATTGGGAAGACACTAATAGTGATTGAAATTCACAAATTAACGAAACACACCCAGTGCTTACTGTAAGGAAGATGATGAGATGCATATGCAAAAGTATAGGCAATAATTGCACCAGCAAAATAATATACTAATCCACTTAATGTAATATGGATTTTGGAAAGTGGCCCATTCCATTTCTGTTAAAGTGGCACTATTCAATAACATTCTCTTTCATCTCAGACCTTTCTTTCTTAAAAGAAAGATGGGATTAGCAGCAAGCCTTCCAAAAATAGACGGTCATGCAGTCCCAATAGACAGCATCAGGACTCGGGAATATCCTATCTTGGCCTCAGTGGTCATACTGGATGGACACCATTTACTTACTAGTCTTATTAGTCTTGTGCTGTATGAGATTGTGCAGTAATGACTCTAAGATCCAAGTAGTAGGACCAGCTTTTTGCTTGTTTGCATGGCTAGAACCAGGGAAGTATGTGGCCATGCAGTATACCACCCCTTCTGCACAAAGATATTATCCTCCTCTCCTGCATCTAAGTTCTCAAGGAAAAACAACACAATAAGCATAGATATTTTCTCCAGTGTAAACAACAGGTAAGATTTCAGTGGATGGAATCAAGCTACCTTTGCAGAAGCTTGGCCAAAATACAGTGGTCAATCTTCCTACTATTGTAAAGAGTGGCACAGGAATGGTCAGGGTCCTAATTTTACTTTTCTTATGAAGAATGGGTGCTCCATCAGCACTTTATGCCAATATTACTTTGTGCAGCATTTGGATTTTTTTTTTTTTGAGTCTCCCAGCCGAGTGCTGACTGGGTTATAGTCTGTGGCAGGTAAGGAAGATCCAGCCTTTTCTGCCACCATTGGCCTTTGGTCCCACTTTGCTGGCAGAGGCTTTTGGAGGGAAATAAGCAGACTGAGGGTTTCGACTCCATTTAGTATAATTGTTTAATGACTGTTGGGTTTTATCCCACTAGTCACTGTTGCCTGTATGGTTCTGACCTCCACATAAAAGGCATGTGGTCTTCTGGGAGTGTTCATCTATCCTTAGTTCCTCAAGGGAAGCTGGGTTTGGACTTCTGGCTTTCTTTCCAGTTTTGCTCAATTGGTGGTGGTGGTGGTGGTGTTGTTTTGTTGGGTTTTTTGGGGTTTTGTTTTGTTTTGTTTTGTGTGTGTTTATCCTCTGTCAAACTGTGCCCTTTCACTACTGTTTAGAAACCATGGCTTAGAGGGTACAGTCATGAAAGTTCCTTAACTGGCATATTCAAATGACTGCAGGCATGTCTCTCCATTCTATTTGTTGCTATAGTAACTAGTAGGGGTGCACTGACAGATTTGGGGGGGGGGGTAATACCTGCATAATTTCACAAGGAAGAAGCAACTTTGACCACCTGAAATCTGAGATTCTGCCTCCTGCCTTTGTTCAAGGTAATTTGCATTATTGCAGAGCCTCACAAGAGAGCCGAGGGACACCTTACCAGATAAGAACTGCCTGCCCGGAGGAGTACGCCATCTATTGACTCCTCTGTGAAATCCTATGAAATATGAACTTTCATTTCTACCCACAAGAACTTTTACCATCTTTTCTGTGATGACTGATGTAGGGTGTTTGCATGGGTGACTGGTGCCAGATTGCGATTGGCTGCAGGGGGACTCCTCCCCCACATCAACAGATGGGGGGTGTCCTCCAGTGGCCAGTCACCGAGCGCAGAGCCACCAGCGGTGAAACTGGTGAAATCAGAAGTGCACTTCTGCCAGCACTTCCAGTTTTGCAGCTGGCACTTCCATGGCCAATCTCAGGGGGTGCATGTACACCCACATGCACTTCCTATGTGTTGCCAATGGGTGTTTGTGCCCAAAAGCTTGCAGTTAAAGATGTTTTTGTTTTTTGCAAAAATCTAGCTGGTCTAATAAAGATATTGCCTCTACCACTGGCCCTGATTTGCTTTTTCCTCTAGTAACTAGCATTACCAGCACTTTATAAAGGCTGCATTATAGAGGTGAATAAATAAACTATATGAATTCATACACTGTACTACCATTATCAGGCAAGAAAAGATCCAACCTGGATTTACTTTCAGTGTGTCTCTGATTTCAAAAATTCCAGTTTGCTTTTGAAAAGTTATGTTTGGAAGATTCTGCTTTGATTTAATGCTGCAAGCTATGAATGAGACTACATTGTGGGACCAGCATTAGATATACTACATTTTCTCAAATACAATGGGCACCTTTAACTCAAAAACCAGCTGCTGAAAATTTGGGTGGGCATTATATACGAGAAATATAGTAAGAACTGGTTCTGCCACTTACCCAATGAAACTGAAAGTGGGACTGTCCAACTAGTGGACTGCATATGGCCTGCAAGGGGCTAATAGGCAGTCCATGGGCTCCTGTTCAGCCACTACTCCCCTCAGTTAGGGTTGCCATATGTCCAAGTTTTACTGGACATGTCCTCTTCTTTGGCCCCCTGTTCTCCTGTCTGGGTGGGTTTTTAAAATGCAAGCAAATGTCAAGGTTTTTCCTCTGCCTGGCTTGGCTGCTTGGGGCTGGGAGCAGTGGGGGAAGGTGACTGGCTTTTGGGGGATCATGTGCTCTGCACGTGGGTCCTGCAACTGCTCACAGGTAAGAGACGCACAGAGAGAAAGTGTGTGTGCACACGCTCACCTCTGTGTGTATGTGGGCTGGGGGGCAGGGAGCTCCAGGTTGGGAGTTCGGGGCACTAGCAGGGGTATGGGAGTAGGGGGCTGTGAATCAGGAGTCACTGGCAGGGCTGGGGGGTGGGGTACAGTGGGTCAGGAGTGAGAGGCAGCAGCAGGGGTGGGGGACCCATGGCTTAGGAGTGAGGGGTAGAGGCAGGGTATGGGCATATCACTGTCCCACCCCCACAATCATATACCCCTTCCCCTCCCCCCAGCCCCCCCTACAAGTGTCCTCTTTTTTTTGATACTGGAAATATGGTAACCCTACCTCCTGCTTTTAATGCTGTGGTGGCCAGGGGCTCCAAGCTCCCCCTTCCTCACTGGTTTCTCCTCCCTGCCCCTACTCCTGGGAGTAGGGGAGTGCAACAAGAGGGGGCTGAGCTATTCATGCTGCATGCACAGCACAGCTGCCCCTCCCCCTCTTGCCCTGCCTCCTCCCCATTGCTCTGTCTGCAGAAGCAGCCAGGATCTCCCTATGGGCACATCCGCATATGCACTTTCAGTAGTACAAATAGGAGCAGCATAAATTTGCACTGGAGATTTGTGACTCTGCCTGAACATGCACTTTGGTGTGGAGCAAATTGTGTCACGTGGAGCAAACTGACCCTGCCCAGCTCCTCCTGGATTTGTAGCAGCAGCTGGCCCGGCCTAAGCTGTCCCCAACAGTAGGCCTGTGTGACGTGGCTAGTATTGACTTTGGATTCGGGCGATTCAGGGGACAGCGATTTGATTTGGTGATTCGAATCACTGTCCCAAATCGATTCAGCCAAATCTGATTTGGAGGTTCGGCTGCTGCCGAATTGGCTGAATCTCTGAATCAGACAAGTCCCATCCCCTACCTGCTCTGCCAGTCTTGTCAATGGCTGCCATGCCTAGGCCCAGCTCCTGGCTCTTTTTTAAAAGCCCCAGAATCACCAGCTGCTGCCAGGTTTGGGAGGAGGGGTCCCTGCTGCACTCCACTGCCCCACACAGCATGGGGGGCTCTGCCATGAGCCTCCTGATCCCTGCCTGCTCTCCCAGGCCCCCTGCCCCCTATAGCTGCCCCTCCTGGCCCCAGCTCCCAGGTTTGTTTGTTTTTTTTTTTAAAAAGCCCCAGCCTCACTGGCTCCTGCCAGGTTGGGGTGGGGGTGATCCTCACTGTCCCCCAT